GATGATGTTACATATTTTCATGTACTTCTTTGCCATTGGTATGTCTTCAGAGACACACAAACCCCAACATGTACTTGAGGCTTATTTTGAGTTTTTTGTTGCTAAGCTCTTTATGTATTCTGTTGAAATTTTTTAAATAGTCTGAATACTGGATCCTTACCCATATAAGATTTGCAAATAGTTTCTCCACTTGGTAGGCTGTCTTCTGATACTCAAAATTTTAAATTATTTTATAATTTTTGTTTTTGTTTGTACTTTTGCTGTAACGTCTAATAATCCATTCCCAAGCCCCAAATCATGAATATTGACTTCTGGTTTTTATCACAAGTGTTTTGCATCCCATGTTTTACATCTGATCCTAATGACAGACTCTGAAGCATATAACATGGTTACCACCATCCCTTTCCTAAATATTGAGGATAGACCTGTTTTTAAAAAAATTATTTTTATTATTATTTATTACACCATAATTGTATACATTTGTGGGTTACAGTGTGACATTTCAGTACATGAATATAATGATCAAGTAGGGGTAATTAACAATCTATGTTATTAGACATATGGCATTACTTTGTGTTGGGAATGTTAAAAATCTCTTCTCTGTTTAGAAATACTCAGTAAATTGTTATCAACTGGATTGCCATGCAGTGCTACAGGACATTAGAAGCTACTCCCCCTATCTGACTGCACCTCTATACTCATTAATCATGCCCCCCATCCCTCTCTCCTCATCCCCTTCCCATGCTCTGGTGACCACTATTCTACTTTCTACCTCATTGAGGTAACTTTCTAGCTTCTGTATCTAAGTGAGATCATGTGGTATTTGCCTTTCTTTTCTAAGTTATTTCTCTTAACATAATGTGCTCCAGTTCCATCCAGTTTTCTGCAAATGTCAGAATTTCATTCTTTGTTATGGTAGGATAATACTTCTTTGTTTATATATACACCACACTCTATCCATTCATCTCTCAGTGGATAGCTAGATGGATTCTACACCCTGGATACTGTGAACAGTGCTGCTGTAAACATTTGAAAGCAGGTGTCTCCTCAATATACTGATTTCCATTTTTAAAATACATAACAAGTAGTGGGATAGCTGGATCATACGGTACATCTATTTCTAGTTTTTTGAGGAACCTTCATACTGTTTTCTATGTTTTCCACCAAGGATGTACAAGTCTGCATCTGTGCCAGCATTAGTTTCATTTTGTCTTTTTGATAATAGCCCTTCTAACTGGGGTGAGATGATATCTTACTGTGGTTTCTATTTGCATTTCCCTGATGTTTAGTGATGTTAAGCATTTTTTCACATTTCTGTTGGCTATTTACATATCCTCCTGAGAAAAGCCTATTAGATCATTCTCTCATTGTTAAGCAGTTGTTCCTTGCTGTTGAGCTTCTTGAGTTTCTTTTATATTCTAGATATTAACCTCTTGTCAGATGCATAGTTCACAAGTATTTCCTCCCACAGAAGGTCTTTGGGCTGCAGAGCAGAAAAGCAGGAAGCAGGGAGCCCAGAACTGATGCGCTTCAGGACCTTGGGGAAGGTAGCCCTGCAAGCATCACCAATAGGGAGAGAAGGAAGGGCTGGGAGAAAGTCACAGGAGTAAATCTGCAGGTCGGCTTCAGGGCACCATATGAGTGTGTCCACAGTGAAGTTTGCAAAGCCCCATGATCACCAGCTCAGACCCCCATCTACGCATCACCCCACAGTTCTGTCCTCTACCTCTTCCCTTGGGCAGGTCACTTGCTAACCTCCCTTCTTTTGGCTGCAAAAATTCCCAGTCAGAAGTGAAAAGAACCAGTTACACTCAGACAACGGCTGAAGAGAAGAGGAAAGGAAGTGTCTCAGAAGCTTTCGGCAGGGAAAATCTGGCCTGTGATGGGGACAGAAATATTTACTTTGCAGGGATAAATAGTACAGGAACAGCTCTCTGTCATCCAGTCTCTGGTCTGACAGAGGTTTTTCTTACCAGGAAGGTGTCCTTGTTATCTGAGAAAGAAGTGGCAGCAGGAAGTGCAGATTCCTTTCCATGAAACAGTGGAGTGCGCAGATGGTATGAAAAACATGAACTTGAGGCAAGGCTAGCTGTGTCACCCCACACATCCTTTCATTGCTCCTGGGGCCGTTATCTACCTTCTCCTGGCCTCAGTTTCCCTGTATGTTTGACAGAGCCTATGGAGTGTGTCCAGGGTGATGACTGTGTGGTTCATGAGAGTGGATTCTCTTCTTGTTCTTCCTCTCTCCCTCCCGTACCTGCTACAGACCCAGCACTTCTGAAATGTCCAACTTCACAAGCAGAACCCAGGCAAGGCCTTGTATCACAAGCTGCCCGAGCTCTCTGTGTCACAGAGGCTGTTAACAGTGACAGGAAAGAGCTCAGTCGTGGAGCCAAATGGTGCTCCTGGAACTTCTCAAGTTCACAGTTTAGCTTGAGGCTGAAGGTTGGAGTCAGTCATGGCTTCCTTTTGACTCACAGAGATCTCTACGGACCAGGGATATGACACTGAAGCCCAGGGTCCACCTATGGTGAGGACGCAGCCTGGCATCCTGCAGCCCACCCCAAAGCCTCATCCAGGGACCACTTCCATTGCACAGCCAGTCACACAAAGTCATGCATATTTGTACACCATGTGACCTATGCGGTCTCCAAAACAGAGTGCAGACAGCTCTCTGTAGGACAGTGAATCTCATCAGGCCTATTGCACTCACCAACAAAGGGCTGGGCGAGGAGTGAGCTGCTTCCGACCAGCACAGTTTTTCCCCATGGTAGGATCCTGGGGGCCACGAGGAGCAGCGCTTGGCAGGGAATTGGGCTTTCAGGACTGGGAACAACAGGTGAGTCTACAACTGGGATGTGACCAAGCCATCGTGGTTGTATTTGCTAATGTGTTGCTGGATTAGGAGGGAAGGAGGGATTTTTGTTTTTATTTATACATGTTTACAGGACATAATGATTACATTCCTCTTGCTGGTACATGCACCTGACGTATCTTAATTATTTTTTATCTTTTTCTTCTCCCTTTCTTCTTCCTCCATCCACCTTAGTGCCCTTACCATTTATAAAAGATCTAGCACCTTAGTTCCTATTGTTACCTTTGATTTCATTCTTTATAATTTGGGTTTATCATAGAGGCCACGTCATGTGATATTTAAGCTTGTGTGTCTGATTTATTTCACTTAACATTATGATCTCAAGTGCATCCATTTTCTTACAAATGACTCAGGTGCATCCTTTCTTATGGCAGAGTAGTACTCCCTTGTGCGTAAATATCACATTTTCTTTATCCATTCATCTGTTGAGGGTCACTTCCAAGATTTAGTCATTGTGAACTTTGCTTCTATCAACATGGGTACTCATGTATCACCATGGTACAATGACTTTAACTCTTTGGGGAAGATACCTGGAAGAGTCACAGCTAGGTTGAACGGAATTTTTAGTTTTAGTGTTTTGAGGAACCTTCACATTGATTTCCACAGTGATTGTATTCGTTTACATTCCCACCAACAATGTGGACGGGACCCGTTTTCCCAGCAGCCTCACAAATACTCGTGAGTATTTGATATCTTGATGATTGCCACGTTTTCCTGGAGTAAGATAGAATCTTAGGGTTGGTTTAACTTGCATTGCTCTAATGGCCAGAGGTGTTGAACATTTTTTCATGTATGCATTGGCTTCTGTACTTCTTCTAGGAAGTGTCTGTTCATTTATCAGTTTTTTGATTGGGTCTTTTATTTGGGGGGGCTTTTTTTAGTTTTTAATGTATTCTAGATATTAATCCTCTGTCTGCGGAATAGCTGGCAAATTATTTTCCCTTGCTGCAGGTTTCTTTTGACTATATTGACTATTTCTTTTGCTGAGTGGCAGCTTTTTCAATTGAATATGATCCCATTTATTGATTCTTGGTATTACTTCTTGTGCAACTGGGATTCTGTTCAGAAAGTCCTTGCTTATACTGCATCTATGTCTTTAAGGGTTTTACCTGTTTTATCTCCTTAAGATTTAGCATTTCTCTTTTAACATTTGTGTCTTTGATCCATTTTGATTTTAGTTTAGCACATGGTAAGAGGCACAGGTCTAGACTGACTTTCCTACATATATCCAGCCAGTTTTCTCAAACACCATTAGTTAAAGAGGTCATTTATTCTCTGGCACAAATTTTCCAGCCCCTATGTCAAAGGTCAAGTAGCTGAATGTGCCTGGATTTGTTTTTGCACTCTCTATTCTGCTCCATTCATCCATATGTCTAATTTTTTCCCAGTACTATGCTGTTTTTATCACTATAGCTTTGTAGTGTAACATAAAGTTTGGAATTGTGATGCCTCCCGCTTTGCCCCATTACCTAGGATTGCTTTTGCTATTCTGCATTTCTTCTGGTTCCATGTACATTTCAGGGTTGTTCTCTCTAGTTCGGTGAGGAATGCTGTTGGTATTTTGAGTGGGATTGCACTAAATCTGTGCATCAGTTTTGGAAGTATGGTCACTTTGACTATATCAGCTCTGCCTAGCTAGGGGCTGGGGGCATCTTTCCATTTTATGATGTCCTGGAAGAGGGGACTTCTGAGAGGAACAAAGGGGCAATTTAATACCTTGAAAGACTGGAGCAATGGCAGAACATATTTCTAGGGGCAGGAAGAAAGCCAGGAATTTCAGGTCAGACACTGGGGCTTGAAGATTTGGTTGCTGTAGGATTAAACATGGAGGAGGAGATCTCCATGGAGCCTGGCAACACCCTGAGTCCAGGCCGAGGTCACTGCTATTATCCTGTTGCTCCCTCACTGTGAGTCACCTGCTCCTTCCCCCAGCCTTGGGCTCCTCCTCTGTGAGACGCCCCTGGGCACCAGGTGTGAGGTACAGAGGGGCGCTGAGTAGGCGCTTCAGCCACGGAAGTGCCTTCCTTGATTCCTGGGCAATGACAGAAGGGAACCTTGGCTGGGGATTAGAAGGCAGGCCTGCCCCGCACCCCATGTTCCCACTTCCTGTTACCCGCCCCACACTCTTCAGGGAAGAAACTTCACAAAGTACAGTGAGATCCTAACCCAGTTCTGCTTCTTCGAGTGGAAAAAAGAACTCGAGGGCTTATGCCAGGGCTCTGCCAAGAGCTCCTCAGAAAGGTACTGTGGCCAGCACTGTGCCCAGGGCCTGCCAGGCCAGCTGGGAGGTGATACCAAGTCAGCAGCTCAGAGGTGCCTCTGAGGCCTCAGGGAGAATCCAGCACGGGGCCAGCTCAGTGCTCGCTTTTGAGCACCCAGAGGTGTGGGGAGCGTTCCAGATTTCCTCTCCACTGCTGGGAAGGCGCCAGGACAAGCGCAGAGCCGAACTCAATCCAATCCCCCAGACCCTGCGGGAGGGGAGCAGCAGGCTGCGCTCAGAAATGTGTGTTGATGCTGCCCCCTGCCGGTAGACAAGGTCCCTGTACCCATAGACCCCGCCCACAGAATGGGTGGGCTTGGCTTCTCAAAGGCCTCTGTTCAGGAGAGGTGGGAGTGTTGGGGGTGCTGGTTATGGGGTTCCCTGGAGTCCTGATGACAGGCAGCCTCCATGTGGACAACTGCAAACAGGGACTCTTAAGACTGCTGTCACTGTAACAGCTAAGATCTATTTGCTGATTTGCTTTACTGTTGTATTTGCTTAATATATTTGAAAGGTGCTAAGGCTCACATCAAGCGTTTTACCTCCTGCACTTCCTTTATCACTCAGTGACCCATGAGGTGGGAGTATTGAGGTTCTCCCTCAATACAGATGGGGAACGCAAGCAGGGCCAGATCTGGATCTGGGTGAATGTCCCTGGGGCCTGTGCTCCATTTTCCTGGGTTCCCAGACTTCATGGGACACATGAATCAGCTGGGGGGGTGTGTGAAGATGCAGACCCCAGAATCTGTGGACCTGGGAAAAGCCCAGTGATGTGCATTTTAACAAGTACATTGATGAAGTCCAATGTCGCCCGGCTATCAGGTGCTACCGTACCTGACTGGATCCTGGGCCGTGGGCTCCAGTACCAGCCACAGTGTTGGGCTCTAACAGCTATTCCAGGCAGGGTCTGACTGTGACCTGTGAAATCCCCATGTGTCAGAGGAGGCTGTGACTGAATTCCACCCTCAGCCCCCCACTTACCCCTCAAATCTACTGACTGCGCTGAAGCGCTGGGGGAGCCAGGGAAAAGAGGGAGGCTGCGGGGACCCAGCCCTCACTGCTGGGCCTGGCAAAGGCAGCTGTTCTGTTTCATCTAGGTTAACAGAAATGAGGCAATCTCCAGTCCTCTCGGAGGTCTGCACACTCCGTGCCACCACGCTCCAGCTTTCGTACTTCCTTGGCCTCCCGAGCGCTCTTGCAGCTGTGCGATGTCTCCGTTCCTGTTTTCTGCTGGGTCTGGATCAGGCTCAGCTGTTAATGCTCTGACACCTCGTCAAGGCAGGTGAGGCGGACTGGGATTGCGAAGTCTGACAGCTCAGGAGCCGAGGGGAGCTGTGAGATTCCGTGGGTGGTCAGGTATTGGGGGAACAGTCAAGTGGCTGGACAGGGACCCCAGGACACCCCACTGGCCATACCATATACACCGATGTGTATGCTGGGCTGAGTCCGAGCTTGATTAGGAAGCAGCTGTGTATTTCTGGGGGTGAGTGAAGCAGAAGACTAGACAAGGAGATTCACAGACTGAGCTCTCACTCCAGAAATGCGGCTCTGGGGGTGGCTGGATCCCTCCTTTCCATTGCCCTCTTTGCAAATGAGGCATTAGGCTTTGCTTTGCTGAGCCCTTGCTTCCTGGATTCTCCAAGTAACTAAATCAGCCAGCTCTGGCAGGCCTGTGGGTTAGAAGGCCCGTTTCTGCTGAAATCTCTCAGAACGCTGCCTGGCTGCTGATTTAGTGGCCAAGGCCCATCCAAGTTCCAGGACTACTGAAACCTGATATTGGAAATAAGAAACAAACAAACAATAACAACAACAAAAACTGAGCTAGGATAAAGAAATTAATGCAGACCTCAGATCACGCCTCAAAGAAAACAGGCTTTGTAAAGATCATGTTCTACCTTAAAATACATTGAGGCACCACCCCCGAAATGTCCTAAAACCTTATAGAGAGGCCCCTAAGATTCCCCACCATCTAATTGGGGATTTGAGCCCAAAGGGTTTAATAACATAGTTGCTGTTATAATTCTTCCCCACAAGGAGCTGCTGAATTTCCCATATTTGGATGTCATGAGGATAAATGCAAGTATATAGAAAACCTTGGCAAAGGTGGAGCTCCATGTCTGTCAGTTGTGGTGGGTTTTGTAAGTTTTTATTAGTGAACCTCTGCGTGGGTGTCTGTATAATGGGTACAATATTAGGCTCATCAGGGAAATGGCTGGAGGTGTGGGAACACAGGGGAAGTAAAGGCCACAGCTGGACACATTGAAGACCTCCACTCACACCCGCTCTACCCTCCCCAGAGCTGGCAGCCCAGGCTGTGAGTTGTAAGCCAGGGCTCAAGGCCCAAATGGACTCAGGGAGGGTTAGGGCAGTGAGATCTTAGGCATGGTCCACATCCTCTCTGAGCACTGACAGGGTTAGAACAGCAATTGGGACAGAGAATGTAGTGTCCACAAGTGTAAGAAACAGAACTATCAGGAATTGCTTTACACAGCCACAGATGATGGGATTTGGGTTCATGGAGATGGAAATCTTGGGGACATCACTGGGTGCCATGGCACACACCTATAATCCAGTACTTGGGAGGCTGAGGCAGGAGGATCACTATGAGTTTAAGGCCAGCCTGAACCACATAGTGAAACCCTGTCCCAAAAAGACAAAAAGAAAACAAAACAAAAGAAACCCCCAAATCTCAGGAAACAAACAAACAAAAAAAGAAACCCCCAAATCTCAGGGACTCATCTATCTAAATGGAGCAGAGTGCTGATGGCTGGGTAAGTTCTCCATTCCTGGGAACAGCAGGCACTCAATAGTGGAGACTGAGACAGAGGGAAAGAAACTCAAACCATTGTACTTGGTGACCAAAAGATTTTTCTGGAAGCCTTAGGTCTCCTGACTTCATGCAAGTTATGCCAAGGTGGGGCCCTGCCAACATGAGTCCAGACACTTTTCCTGGTTTCCCCTAAATAACAGATGGGTGCCCAGGTCCTCTGGGGCTGTCTCTAAGGACAGTTCAGTTTTCACAGGCCCTCAACACCCAGACAGCTGGCCAGCTGGCCGCACCGAGCTGATTATTGCAGTACTGGGATGTAAACCCAGGGTCTTCACGCTGAGCCTTCTGCTTTCTTTTGACACAGGGTCTTGCTAAGTTGCTCGGGCTGGGCTTGAATTCGTGTTCCTCCTGCCTCAGCCTCCAGGAGCACTTGGACTGCAGATGTACACCGCCATGCCTTGCTAGCTTATGCTTCTTAAAATAATAAAACCAAAATTTGAATAGCACTTGAGACATTTCTATAAACTAAACACTGTGTCCTACCATGCCATTTATCTACAGTTGTTAATACTGAGGAAGACTCAGTCCAGCCAGGTGTTTAAAGGTGTCAGTGGCTGAGGACCAGCTTATCTCTCCCATTATAAAGACAACTTGTGAAGGCTCAGAGAACCTGGTTAAGGTTCCCTGACCATGTCACTACTAATAGCAGAACCACTATTTTCTTAAAAGGAAACAAAACAATGAAAATAATAATTCAGAAACAAGCCATTTTACTGTAATGCACATTGCTAGCCTTTAAATAGATGCTCAGGCCACCAGACACAGGCACGCAAAGTCAATCAAACAGCACAAGCACTAAGTTGTTTCTTTACTTCAGTTGCCACCATCTCTCATATTTCAGGTGTGTGGCTTCTAATTTCCTCCATGCCTGTGTCTCCTGGACTTGTTCTGGGTGAGATACAGACAATCAAATTTAATTCAACAACATAAGCACTAACTTGTCTCTTCACTTCAGTTGGTTGCTATCATTTCAGAAATCTCAGGTGTGTGATTCTAGTTTACTTTGTGCCTGTGTCTCTTGGACTTGCTCTGGGTGGGCCCAGGTCTGAGGCTGCACCCTGCTCCTTAGTCCTGACATCTGCCTGGGTTCCCCTGGAATCAGCAGGTCCCAGGTGCCTCCTGCACTGGCTGCCTGTCCCATGGTGCAGGGAGCTGGGCTGGGCACCTGGGTTCCTCCAATCCAAGGTTCACAGGGTGGTGGAGAGGTGCAGGGCAGCTGCTCAATGTTCCCCGGGTGGCAGCGGAACCCTCGGGACATGGCTTCCCCTTCTGGGGCCCAGGGCAGCTAGCTCATCATGGGGTGCGAGAGCCACAATTTGGAGCCCAAAATGTACTACAAATCCTGCTCTTACCTAGCCCCTGTAAAGGATTACTTTCCTGCAGCACGTGTGCAGATCACATCCTCTCTGAGCTGTCCAAAGCACGTGATTAGTGGTCAGATTTCTTAGGAGGCACACCCTGGCTCTTTTAATTAATTAATTGATTGATTATTTTTGCCTTAGTGGGTCAATAATCAAAGGAGAGCAAAACGGCAAGATAATAGAGGCTATTTTCACCAGCAGTTCTCAGCAAAGGCATGAAAAACAGCTTCATCAAAGAGCTAATTAGGAAGTCATAATTTGGAAACCACCCACTGCAGTGATGATGAGGATCCAAGTTAGAAACTGCAGCTCCTGGTTCCTAAGGAAGGGTGTGGGGTGGCGGGGAGCACCCCAGGCAGGGCTTCCTTTCAGGGGGCAGGAAAGCCCCGGGCAAAGCATGGTTTGGAGAGAAGCAGCTCCCTGTCTCAGACCCCTCTCGGTGAGGAGGTCCTGGGAGTGTCCTTGCTGAAGGGAAGAGGGGGCTTATCACTAATGCTCACATCCACGGCCACCTCCCGAAGGCTGGGGACGTCTGTGAGTGGGCTGAACACGTGGGCCCTGAGTCCTCCCCTCTCAGCCCTCCCAGCTTCTCTGCTAGCACCAAGAAAGGCAAACACAAACGCACACAAATGCTAAATGAAGGAAGTTCAGATGAAAACCTTCGCACCCCATCATGCTTTGCGGGTTATACGATGTCTTCCTGGACATCTTCCTGTGTGGTCTGGACAGTGATTCTCTGGGGTTGTTGTCTTTATCACAGCTACCTGGGTATCACTGCATGAGGAAAACAAGGCTCAGAGTGGTTCAGGGGCTTGGCACATGGTGCACAGCTGATAATGGTGGTGGGATAAGTCAATGGGCTTTGGAGTCAGAAAACCTAGGTTTAAATACCAGCTCTGTCTTTACTAGCTGTGTGTCCCTGAGCCTCAGGTCCCTCTGCTGTGGTAGTCACCACCACTGACAGTGGCCTCCCTGAAAAGCAAAAGGCCCAAACGGCTCAGAAAATATAGAAACGGGCTGCACCTCTCACAGGTGCAGCAAGGCCGCCCCTCCCAATGGGTTCCACAGGAGCAGCCCCTCCACCTAGGCTCAGACCAGACCAGACCAAGAGCCCTTCTGTGGCTCTGGCTCTGTGCTGTTCCCAACTAGCCACTGACCACTGCACCTTCTCGAAACGGCACAGCCTGGGAGTAGAGCCGGGAACCACCTCCGCTCACCCAGGCTTCCCACTGGAACTGCAGCCCCAGCTCTGTTGGGTTTGGGCCCCATTTAGCCAAAGCCTGCCCTGCTCACTGCTTAGAAGGGAGCGCCCCCTAAAGCTCAAGTTGGGATGCTTTTAGACTCCAGCAGGAGAACTGGTAGTGCATCTGTGGAAATAAAATTTCCCTGCCCAAGGCACCCAAGAACCTGCAGCAACCAGAGGCTCAGTGTTCCCTCTCATCTGGTGCCCAGAGAACCCCCGATTGCCCAAGAATTGCCCAGGCTGGCTTTAACCAAAGGCAGCTGTACTTTGGCAAGAGACGCTTGGATTCCAGGATGGCTTCTCTGAGGCCAAAGTAATCAAATGTACAGCTACAACACCGAGTGTCCTCTGCTTACTTAAGGAGTTAAAAAGAAGCACACATACCAGCATACTGCGAAACTGTTCCAATATTTGGACACCTGTGTTTCATTATCGTTCTCTGGCTTTGACATCCTATGGTGCATATTCCATGCATTTAAAAAATTGACGTCTTGTACTAACAGGGGCCTAGAGGTTTAACAAATAGCCAAAGGAGTCCGTGGCATAAAAAATGTTCAGAGGCTTCTATTGCATTCCCTCTACCCAGGCTCAGGAGAGCCTCAGATTTTTCTGCCAGTCTTTAACTCTTTACTTACGTGATATTGTTGCAACCAGGCTGTACAACACAATTTTGTAGACTGTGTTGTTGACCATAAACATGTTTTCCTGATATTTTTTGCTTTTATTTTATTACTTATCTTATTTTAATTTTTGATGGCACTGAGGACCTTCTCGCTAGACCACATCCCCAGGCCATTTTGACTTTTTCAACTTTGAGACAGGGTCTCACTAAGTTGCTAAACTGCCCGTGCTGGACAGGAGCTTTTGCAGTCCTCCTGCCTCAGCCTCCCCATGTGCTGGAATTATAGGCACGTGCCACCACAACTGGGCACACCAAACTTCTAATGATGCCACACTAGTGTGTTCCGCTGCCGCAGTCTAGCTCACCCTCCTGTATGCTGTATGCTTTGCCACTTAGCACGGAATGAATCTGTGACTTTTACAAATGACATCAGACGACACCTTCCTGCGGTGTGGATCTTCCACTTTTGACATGGTTTCCTGCAATGAGCTTCGCAGCAGTAACAGGAGAAACATTTTTCACACTCTGACACCTTTCCCAGCACCTTGCCCAGCCTGGCAACGCACAGGCTGGAGGGCGGGCAGTGAGGGAGGCAGAGGCTTTGAAGAGGGCAGAAAGGGGGGCTGAGGAGGAGAAAGACAATGGCAGATGGGGTCTCCACGGATGGGTGTGAAGTTGTCCCCTGACTAGATGAGAGGTGAGGACTGGACTCAGGTTGTCCTCTGCTTCCCAGCCCTGCGCTCAGCCTGCAGGGGACCTCACCTGTGCTCCCTGAGGACGTCCAGAACCCGGAACACAACATCCTCAAGGAATGCTAGGAAGGACAAGACACATTCTCCACCCGAAGTCACTGGACCTCTGGCATCCAGGAGGGCAGAAGTAATTGCTTTACTTCCAAAATAATAAAAACTGTCCACTGCCTGCAGTAAGGCGTTGTGTGTAAGACTTCCCTAGAATGAAGGTCCTGGCTGCCTGTGGCTCCCCAGGAGTATAGCTGCAGTCCTCATGCACTGCCTTGCCTGAGATGGTCACCCTTCTGGCTGCAGCTCTTCACCACACAAAGACTCAGCAAGGCCTCTGTGGTACATGCACCATGGCCTGGCCTAGCAGACTGTTCCACACCTCCAAAGCTGCGTCTCGGGGACTCAGTCTGAGCTAGTTACGCATCTTTGCTTAATCAACACGGAGGCAAGGAAGAGACCAATGTAAACACCCATTCACCCAAGTCCTCCCCTAACTAAGCCTTATGTGTGGAATCCCAGAGGACAGGAGAGTTGAAAGTCACACAGCCTGTGTGCAGTCAGACCCGGCCTCAAAGCCAGACTGCGTCCTTGGCCCCCCCCCCCCATGCCTCTCCTAGGCCTCCACACCAGGGACCCATGCTGGGGACCAACCAGACCACTGGTGGGCAGCCTCAGGACTGAGGTTCTGCTGGCCCCGGAGCTGCTGCTGGATGGCTAGGCGCGTCTGCGATCACTGCCTCACCTCACTTTCCTTATCTGGAAACTCAAAATTCTAAAACTGGGTAGCATAAAAACCTGAAATGTAGATTTTTGGAGGAACTGTCTCAGGCTTTTAGGAGGCGCTAACCCAGCAGTACTTCTCCCTGGCCACCCTTATCCCACATCAACTCCTGGACTTGGAACACAGTTTTAGAAAAGAAGGAAAACTCAAGCAACTTTCCAGTATGAAGTACCTCTCTCTTCCGGCAGCGCCGGCTCAGCCCGCACTCGCCAGCAGAGGGCGCCACCCCTCTGCTAAAAGCCCCTCATCCTGAGCCTGCAGCGTATGGCTGGCAGTGTCTAGGACCCTTTGCTCCTTGAACCCCGCAAGCTGTGCACGTCTCACCAGAGAGCAGTCCACCGGGCCTCCGGCTGGCACTAGCCAGAACTGGATTCCAGCCACAGCGCCAAAGCCCATTTGGGGACCCTTTCTAGAGACTCTGGCAGGAGGGGTCCCTGGGTTACCCTGAAAGGATGCGGTCCCGCAAGGGCCATATTGGGGCACACATGTGTCCTTGGGGAGCGTGTTACAGCCAGTGGTGTGCCCAGACCAGGCTGCCGGGCCTGTGACATTTATTTACTTATTTACTGCCATCATTACCAGGGGCAGAAGGGGGATTTGTGCTTTCATGTTCCTTCTGCTGTCTTGACCAGGGCTGGTCTTAACAATCCCACACCTCTCTCCCTCTCTGTGTCAGCCTGTCTGTTTTACA